GCAAGGCTTGCCGGACCTCCGATATATTATTACCCCAAGTCATTAATGGTAAACTGCAATTCTCCTCTTTTCCCTCCACGCGCCGTCCACGGAATGTCCGGTGAGAAAGGAAGGCGCGGTTCTCTCTCTCTCTCTCTCTCTGTCTCTCTCTCTGGTTGCGTCTCGTGTCTCGCAGCCGGCCGGGACGGATCTGGAATTAATCGAGAAATATCGAATGCTTTATTGGCGATACGTCCTGCCTGCTAGTGTGATGGAGTGGTATAGGTAATTAATTATCTTCCCTCGGGGAAACACTAATACCTTGGATACTTTGGTTTTCTTGTTTCTCATCTACGTGTTGGGTCTCGCCTTTTCCCTCTCCTCTCTCTTTCTCTCGATCATTTCATTCCAGGTTCAAAAGTTCACCTTATCTCTCGAGAATCTAAAAGGCGTAAAGCTATCCGTTCGCTTGTAATTATCAATTTTAATTTTTTCAAATCACGCGGTTTATTTCAGCGAAGACCGACCTCTATTCAAAGATCGGATGAGCCGTGTTCGAGAGAAAAGGATTCTCGAATCGGAATCGAGAATTTTCAACTCTCGAAAGGGTTTTTGGCATTTATGGTGGATTCGCGCGGGCGAACGCACTGTCCGTTCGAGATCGCCGCACCGCGTAAATCCCGAGAACGATCGAACGACTCGAAACACAGATACACTCGGGCAAGGCTCCCTTGAAACTTTGTCCCGGAGGGAAGGAAGGAGCTGTCGGTATTCAAGCGCTTCCACCCCATCGTTCACGGGTACACGCGCGCTTATGCGCGCGCCAGTCGATACACGGAACCGCGCCTTCGAGCACACACAGGGACGTGTGCACATAGACGAGAGGGGAGGGCAGGGGGAGGAGAAGGTTCCCAGCCAAGTTTGAAGCCCGTTGCGCCTCAGAATCCGTACTTAGAATCCCTGGGCAGAGTTCAGGCTGCGCATTGACCGCACGAAATCCTGCGGCGTTCTCACCTTCCCCCGGTGTCTGTCGCGAGACAGCGACGACAAGAGACCGACCCCCTGCTTCAAACAACTTCAATAGGGACTGCGATGGAAATCCGCGTCCCTACCGCAATCTCCGGTTGATTAGACCTTTCTCTCTTCGAACGTTGTTGCGTTCGATCGATGAGACGCGATTAATTCCCACGATAATGCTTAATAATCGCGTCTCGAGTCGTTGAAACAAGTCGTACGCGTAAAAAAAAAAAAAAAAAATCAATCTTCCTGATCGAGGTCCCTATGCTTTGACGATTGAGAAGAGCGATTAAAAAGATACCATCTCCATCCAGCAATATCGGATGGATAAATCTTGAAGAAGAACGTTACTTCGTATCACATCTCCACCACCCAGTCGTTTTTCTCCTCCTACGATTGTCGCGTGTCTTCAATCGCAAGCGAGGCGGTAAGTTCAATGTTCAGCAATCTCAGTGTTGGAATATTTTTCTCCGAGCGATAGCTTTTCGTTCACACCTTCGAATCTCGGCGAAGCGTCGTCGTCATTTTCGCTAGACGCGGTGGGGCGTTGCAGCGAGACGGCAGCAGAGAGAGAGAGAGAGTGCACTCGTTAAAAACTTTTCACGGTATTCATTCGAAATGCACTCCGTCAAAGTGCGATGCGAGAGGGTCAAACGCGAGAACTCTGGCAAAAAGAAGGCGGATTTTCCTGTCGTTTCTCTCTCTCTCTCTCTCTCTCTCTCTCTCTCTCTCTCTCTCTCTCTCTCTCTCTCTGGCACGTCGAGACGACGAGCTAGATTATCGCGCCATCTCCGCGTGTCGTCATTATCCTTCGGGTGTTCGGGCGCGCGTTTCCGCCCGATGGAAATTTTTTCCCCTAAGACAGCCAGCGAAATCGCGAAACGGCAAGTTTTCCCAACAGAGGGAATCTCGCGACACATTCAATCTCGCGAAATCGTAATAATTTTCCATCCCTTTTTACCAGCGCGCATTTAACCGAGTAAGCGACGAGTAAGCAAAGCTCGTTGTCGCCGGCTTCACAATGGACCGTACAGATCGCGTTTGACTCGATGAAAACCAAGAGTCATCGTTTTCTCCCTCTTCGCGTCGAGAGATCGCAATTAATTATCGCGATACCTTAATGCTTTCAACTAAAAAAAAAAAAAGACGAACATTATCCCTCCTTCCTTCCCCGTATTGTTTCGTATCTAACCGGAGGGGGAGGGGATATTATATTACCTTTTATACACACACGCCTCGATATAAATATATATAACATATTCAAAAAGGCAACGACACTTGGAACACACCTTTAACCCATACCGCTGAAACACGCGAATCCATCTCGCCTGCATTAAATTCGGAAGCCTGAAAAACTGGAACCCCTCGTCGATGCAACGCGACGAACAAAAGCAAAAGAGAGAGAGAGAGAGAGAGAGAGAGAGAGAAAAGGTGAAACGCGGACGAAAAAAAGAAAAAAGGGACGAAAGTGACCGGTCCTCCGTGATAAAAGGGGGAGGAATGCCGGAGGGCCGGCGTTCGAACGAAGGAGGAGGAAGCTGGTGTTCCGAGCGTGTTCCTTCACGTCAGCTTGAACGCGGCCTTTTTTTCATCGCGCTCACGTTAGAAGCGCGGAGAGGAGAATGCACCCGGGCTGCGGAGCGCAGCTGCGAGTGACGCGCGGGAGAACGAGCGACATGCGGCCGCGGTTAGGACACACGCTCGTTTCACGGAAGCCGAGGGTTATTCCCCGTTCGCAGTAGCAAAGTAGTCGTGCGTTCCGTGATACGCACGATACGGCTGGTTTCTGCTTCGAAACTCGCCGCTCGTCGAAAACCACAATGATACAGGCGTGTATCGATTAGCTGCCGCTTATGGTGTTATCGAGACAGGCTTAATTAACGGCGGACAAACCGTGGCTCGGCACGAACACCTAGGGAAGGAAACCGGTGAGAAATTACTTGGATCCTATAAAATCTACTATTTTCTCCCGCCCCTCTCGCTCCCTCGCCCCGCTCGGCTCGAGGAATCCGTTGTAGCGTGACCGGCGATTTTGTTCTCGTTTAAAACGAATTCCTTCGGATCTTTTACGGTAATGGAAAGCCTCGAGATACCGTAAAATCGGCGTTTCTTCGCGCCGCTCGAAACGCCCTGCGTTTTTACGCCTCCTTTCTTCCTAATGTATACTACACCTGTACCTGTACGAGCGTGCAAAGTTTACACTCTTTGTCGAATCGACGTTGATAGGCTCACGTTTACCTTATTAAAGGTAAACTTGTTTGTTTCTTTTTGTTTCTCGTTCGGCGGCTTCGATGGCTCGGACTTAGGAAGAAACGGAAGATCGGGCTAAAAACTGATATTGATCGTAATAAGCCGATATCGATCTCGTATCACTTTTCGCACCTTTTTTTTTTTTTTTTCCTTTTTCCTATATTTATAATAACGCTTTAGGAAGAATTTTAAAAACGTTAGAATTTTTTCGACTCGCCGATTACTTGGAATACATTGGAAAAAGAAACAGGTCGGCGTTGGAGAAGGTTCTAACAGCGGTCTAAAATGGCATTGTGGCGCGTCCGTATGGAACTAATGAACTCACGACGGGGCTTTCACGGGACAGAGTTATTACACCCCTTCTTCTCGACTATAGTAGACCAGTCTCTATTCCTCTCGTTTCTTGCCACCTCTCTCTCGGTTCGTTCCTCTCGAGATACTTCTCGCCACCTTCTTCCTTCTTCGAGACACAACCGCCCGCATTCGCCTCGTCACCTTAACTCGGGTTAAGGCTGACCGGTATTATGGCAGATCTATCATTCCTCCGTCCAAATAAGCTCGAACCTAGTTTCACGACTGTTAGTTTTCTCACCAACCCCTTTCATCTTGCTCGTATATCTTCCGTTTTCTCGAATCGCAATTGTCGATCCTCCACATAAATAACGAAATATCGAGAACGGAATATAAACAGAATATATGCTTTAAAATAATTCGAGAAAACACGGAACGTCCCCATAATACTTCAACCACTTTCGCGGCCATTAAACCAAAATAATCACGAATTGAATTCTCGTGCGTTGGCCACGAGACGACCAAGGACCAAGGAGCGAAAGGAAGAGGGGAGGGTGACTTTTCTTCGAAGAAAGTCGCGCCTGTAAATTCGCTAATTCGCTTTCAAAGGAAATCTGGCGCGAGGGCATTTTCCGCGGGATAAATTCGAAGTGGATGGGGTTTGGGGATCGACAAAGACCGAGTCGGAGCCCCGGCTATCTCGATCTTCCGTCTCTCGAACAGTCCCCTCTCTCTCTCTCTCAACGATGTCTCATTGTTTGCGTCCCCTGTATATACGCGCGTCTATACACCGGTGTCCTTTATCTTAATTCCATTACACTTGGAAACGCGACACGGGCCTGCACAACAAGCGCGTGTCGGTAATGCACCCCCTTCTGCCCGGCAACAACCACCACCCGGCCCAACCCCGCCTTCTCCCCAACCGACTCGTCACTGTAATTTCGTGCAAAGCCACTTTGACGTGTCCTTGACTCTCTCGCCGCTTGCAAATCTCAAATCCCCTCTGCTCCCCTCTGCTCCTTATTCACTCGCTCGTAATTCAACCCCTCCCCTCCTCCCGTCTGGCTGGCTATCGTGAACGAACGAAAGGCCCTCGGTGTTTACTCCCTTGCAATTTTGCGACTCGTGACTCCGCGCTATTTTATCCCTTTTCTCCTTGTTCTCACGAATCGCGCCGACTAATTAGACCACTCGTTGCGTTTTCGAGCGACGAAATGAAACATTGCTAAGAAGGCTTCGGTTTGAAACGATAAACGTTCCCCTTGCTCGTCCTCACCGAACGGAATACTCGTTTAAACTATATTTTTTGGGACGATTGTTCGTTTATCAAGTTTAGTTCCTTCCAAGAGAGATTACATAATTGAAAAATATGACAATATTTTTAATCATTTCGATCGTCTTCAAGTAGTAGTTGAAATGTTATATATATATCGGTTAGTAATTTTGCGTCATTTCTGTTACAGATAGGTACGACACCGCGTACGCCTGCGAGGGGAAAACATTGTGGATCGAGTGCGGCGAGGGAAAGCTGATCCATCTTATCAGAGCGAATTACGGAAGGTTCTCGATAACGATATGCAACGAGCACGGGAACACCGACTGGAGCGTCAATTGTATGTCACCCAAATCCTTCCGGGTGCTCAACAGCGAGTAAGTATTCCGATCATCGACGTCCTTGCATCCTATCATACACACATATACATATATATATACAGCTTGTCCTTTGATCCTTCATCCCTGTTCCACGAATCGCGTCGAGGAATCACGATGATGATGGTATCGAAACCGAATCTCGAACGTGCTATTCGATATTCTATCGAAAGCGAGAAAGAAGAAGAAGAAGAAGAAGAAGAAGAAGAAGAAGAGGAGGAGGAGGAAACGTAGAGAAAAGAAGGAAGGAGAGGAAGGGAATGGAAAAATGGACAGCGTTCCCCGCTGCCAGATATTCTCTATCGTTAATGAGTCCGGACTAGCACCAATTAAAGGAGACGTTCGATCCGATCGAAGCGTAGATCGCGCTTGTCACTTTGGTCCCCGGGTTATCGAGCGATCCGACTTTCCACATGGATCGGTATCTACACGGCCAAGCTTTTACGAGCCGTACGCTCCATTCGAGAGATATCCAGCATGACACCTGAGATTCTAACTCGTTCCCCGCGCGGATAACGAGAAACGCTTCCTGAACGAGTTCCGCGCGTGTGTGTGTCCGTGTCCGTATATCGATCATAGTCTTTCGATGACCTTGGACGGAGGGAGGGGGGCCGATCTATACGATCTATCACGAACGAATCTCGATCCGATCGCGTGGATCTTCGCCCTGGCAACCAGTTACCCGCGCGATTGAACGGTTTGATCGGTCGCCGCCACAGTGAAAAATTATTAAACCGTGGAGAAATGCGGAAATTCGATTCTCGATTTCGCGCAGATATATATATATATATATACGAACCGCGGAATCGTCTCCTCGAGATTAATCGTTCAAATATTCACGCGGATCTTTCTTTCATTTTCGTTGTCCAATTTTGTTGAAAGTTTCCATTGTTCCGATACCATCTTTCTCGCGTGGCGAGATGAACAGATGAGTTCGAATGAAATATTTCGGTCAACAACGGGTTTCGAATAACGCGAAATGGGGATGAAACGAAAATTTCGACGCTTCGTTTTTTTCGCGTGACTCGCGTTCGAGGACGAAGTATCGAGGAACGAATAACAGAGAATAAGAAAGATCGCCAAGATCGAGAAGATTATTCTTTTTATAATATCTCTAAATTATACAAATATATACCCTATTTTTCGAGATCGAGCGAATAATTTCGAAGAATTGAATACCACACAGAAGGATGATACCATCAAGGCGGAATCGCATCAGCTTCCTCGACGCCGTTCCCCCTCCTTAGCCTCCTACTCTCTTCCCCCCTTTCCCCCTGACCGTCCACGGAAATGGAGCAAAGAGCAATGGAGTCGAGATCGCGAGGAAATAAATGGTAAAAGGGGTAAAGGATGGGATGGGAAAGAGGATATGTCCAGGGAGGGAGGAAGGAAAATGAGGAAGGAGTGGACGGCTTCATATGGTCCGGCGAACTGGCCAATTGCTCGACCATTGAAGAGCGTATTTCGCGGCGGATCAGAGCGGTAGGAAGAATCGCAAACTCAGCGGTCGCTTCTCTATCCCGGTCCCTCGCGAACATCCCCTCTATTTTCCTTCGTTCTTCGTGCCTCTGCGATCTCCAAAGTCTCAGACTCGCACACATACCAAAGTACACACGTACTCGTAATAATAAAATATATATATATACATACATACATACATACATACATGCATATATACACGTAGACGCGAAATGCAAGCGTTTCACGCGCCGCATTTCCGCTTGTCACAAGATCCACGTTCCATAAGATTCCGTATTTTTGACAAAATCCAACCTGTCCTGCGGATTCCTGTTTCTATTCTATTGTTGTTCTATTTTTTGTTTTTTTTTTTTCTTATTACTTCTTTTCTTCTCTCAAATTGAAGATCGTCGAATTGTTTAAACAAAGAAAAGGAAACAAAAGCAAAGCGGAATCTGTCGCATCCGTTGGTCTATAGATCGATTCGATTCGGAAATTCAAACGAAAGGGAGAGAAAATTGAGAAGAGAGAAAGAAAGAGAGAGAGACGAGACAAAGACGAAGAGGTTACGGTGACGCGAAATTTCGTTGATTCGACGCCTGGATTCACCACGCGTTTCGTCATTGTGATTAATCGCGGCGGATATTAGTTTTAACGAAACGAAAAAACGACAAAAAAAAAAGGAAACGGTATTGTGATGCACGTCCAACAAAACCAACGATATAAGGCAACGTCAGCCGGTGCCGGTAGTGTGAATAATTGGGAAAGATAATCGCCATGACGAATCGAAATCGTATCGTAATTAACCTTTCCATCGTCGCTTTGGAAGCGAGCGATTCTCGCGACCGGTTGCGTCTTCTCGGGAGTAAAGAAAACGGATGAACGGAAGAGAAAAAAATGCGAATGCGAGGAAGAATGCGGGGAGCGCAAAAGCGCCGCGTAACCGCGTAAGAAGACGCGAGAAACACGCGTGTTAATATCGAAACGCGCCATCGTTCGAAGGGGTTGAAGTACGTTTTGCAGAAAAAAAAAAAAACGCGTTTCGTTTCAAAGTTGGCCGCGATCGTCTCTCCTCGCGTGGAGACGGTCTAAGGACCTCCTCTCGTCGTCGAGGAGTAATAACTTCCGGATTAACTTTAAGTGGAGAAGTTCTTCCGTGTTGCCTATACCTGTGTAAAGTCGTGCACGTACATGTCGCGGCTCGGTGGTTATACACACGACGACTCTCTATGCGTTTCGCAAGACGAGACAGCAGAATTTGACGTCAATTTAACTCATTTCGCGGAATCGATCGAGAAGATCGCCCCAGCTTTGCTCGCTGATCGTAATCACCGTTCCTCCGTACTTGCTCGTCTTCCTCTCTCTCTTTCTTTCTCTCTTTTGCTCTCTCTCTCTCTCTCTCTCTCGAGTCTCTAGAGTCGTCTATATAAATTCCTTTTTTTGCTTCTCCCCTCGAGGATCGATCTAGACCACGGCGACTTTTCTCCCTTCCCTTTGTGTCTCAAAAATAACTTTCGTGGAATTTTGTGCAACGATTTATAAATTAGTCGCTGCATTTATCGATATTCGGATGGATATCGGCGAACGGTGTACCAGCGAAGATAATTTTCCGTTACGAAAATAAGTATATATGTGTATATCCGGTTTGAAATGTTTAATCCCAATCGAGATTGGATATTTCTCTTGATGGTTCATCGCGTTTTATTTTTTTCAAGTCGAAAACTAGGATCGAAAGGTTTCGGTCCTTTTTTTATCGACGCATCATCGGTTATCGAAATAAAGTGTTATCTCAATAATCATTTCTCGTTTTCTTCCAATTTTCGAGTTTTAATATTGTTTAGTAGAAACGTTAAATCTGGTACATCGTTCACACGAGCATCGTTCTTTAAGTTAAGAACTCGAGAATCAACGGCGCGAGTCAAATCATTCGATTCGAAGAATTATTTATTTATTTACGAGTAACTTATACATTTTTCATACCGCTTCATTTTCTTTTTTTCTTTTTCTCTCCCTTCTCTTTTTTTTTTTTCTTTTCTCGTTCGATCCTTTCGTACTTCCGTTGCAATAATCGACCCGTTGTTCAACCCGTTATTCTCTCCCTTAACATCAGATCGTAGTTGGTGCATCGATTTTCATAAAAATTCACACGCATGCACATACCTCTCGCTTCAAACATTTACCGCTATGTGTTCCGGGTCTACCTTTCACTGTGTTTCGCTTCGAAAGATCCTTTGTTAATGCGATCCTCGTGAATAACGAGACTTTGTTTCCGTCATTAACGCGTTGCCTGGTATCGTGAATAAGAGCTTTGTAGCCTTCGGTTTACGTTTCAAAAAATTCTTCCTTCCTTCCTTCCTTCCTTCCTTCCATCCATCCATCCATCCGCTCGATTGATTTTTCTTCCAATTTAAATTTAAATCGAGTTTAAATTTAAATCCCGCACACGAATATCCTCGAAACGAAGATAAGAGAAATCGAAGATACCAGTCGACGCGTTTTCTCAGAAGTGAACAAACCAAAATGGAGCAAGCGTATCCCAAAATCCAAGTTATTTTTTACTTTGCAAAGTAGTGTTCACGATATGTAATTTTTATACCTCCTTCATCTTCTCTCTTTTCTCGCAAGTTACGCTCTCTCGACGCATCTCCAAGATTAGTCCAAGCTGTAGTTGGCATTATTGGCGACGCGATCTCTCTTTCTCGTGCTGACCAACTTTCCCTCCTTTTTTATTATCATTCACGCAAGAATCTGTTAACACGAAACGCAAGATGGAAGAGTCGAATCGATGGAAGTTATTGGAGCAAAGAAATTTCTCGCAATTTAGGGAATGGGCGGAGTAAACGGAGTTGAAAAATCCCAACCCCTCGTCGGGGGGATTCGTCTAATCCAAGCGGCATGTTGAGGAACATTGATCGCGGATTAACGTCGATGGGTTTACGGACAAAGCCGGAAACCGGCGTCGAAACGACGGATTGACGGTTGTACAGGTCGGTTAGAGATTTATCAAGGGGGTTGGGCCGGCCACGTACGAGATTACGATTTAAGTGAAACCCCGGGTAGGGGGCGGGGCTCGCTGGGAAACGATTAATGAAATTGAACGGCCCGGTTTCCGCAGCGAGAGCTCGAGTCTAACGGAATTAATGACGCGCGTAACCGTGGAAATGTTCATTACACCCGTTGAGAAATGACGCGGTCCGTTTCCCGGATTTTCCAATTTCTTCAATCTGCCACGCCAGGATTAGGAGATCCTCGGGGAAAAATGACCAATCCGCGCAATTTCCAGCGCGGAAATTAGCGAAAATTAGTTTCGAGCGTCGAATTAACACTGTGAAGATCGAGGTTCAATGCGTTTCTGCTCTTTTTTTTTTTTTTTTCTTTTTGAATGGAGCGATTGGTTATTACAAATCCTCTTACGTGGTCGGTTGATTGTTCTCAAAATTAGAGAAAATTAGTTTCGAATTAACGCGTTATGATCAAGGAAGAGAAATCACGAGTGATTTAGCTTTTCAAAATTGAGGGAACATTAATTTCGAGTATCGAGT